AGTCTGGGATCGCTTCCGTAACGGCCGCCTGGTTGGTGGTAGCGACTGTAGGAGCGGACGTAAACTAACCAGGATGGTACCCAGGCTATTCTCGGACTGCAGCAGACTAGTTTGCAGTGGCATTTTGAGTTTTTATTATATGACCCATTGAGATGTCCAAGTCCTATCTCAGTAAATTAATGCTTTTGAGAAGTTGACCCCGTATAGTTGAGTAAATGTTTACAGTTGGTTACTGACAAAGTTATCTTAATATATACTTTTTCACAGTTTGTATTCGGAAATGGGGACTGTTGTGCTCAACATCACAGCACCGATGCCCAACTGCGGGCCAGAGGATATCCCTGTTATCCTGGAGTACATAGGAGGTACACCATGTCAATTATTATGAATACTGTGGCCCACAAAGACAACTTTTAATGAAACTTTTTAAAAGTACTTGTGGGCCACAGTACAGGAGCAGATTGGAAAGACTGGGATGAAAATACATGGGGACAAATCATTAGTTTGGACAATCAAATTTTCACATAAGGATATAATATACAATGTACTCCTACCTAAAGGTGTCATGATATCATAAACTTACAAACCGAGTGATATCGTTTCGTTGTCTTTTTTATTATATATAACAGACTTATGATGACATCCATATGATACTATACTCTCAATATTAAAATTTGCATAAACTAACTTCTATCTTAGGGTGTAGAATTTTCTTCATACACAACCGAAGGTTCTCACCTGCTTATGTTTCGATGTCTATCAGACACCTTCCTCAGAGCTTCTGACTGGAGTTCTGCAACTCGCCGCTATTTAAACGTAAGCAGGTGAGAACCTTACTGGTTGTGTGTGAAGAAAATTCTATACCCTAAGTATCTTCCAACCTGATGAAATTATTTACGGTAACTTCGATCTTCTAATTGCAGATGGCAAGTATGACTCTGTGGTGGCCTGGGCGGAGGACGATTGCACCGGTAGTAGTAATGGCGCCTTCACCCTCCCTTCGGCAATGTTGCTCATTGCACTGCAGCTCATTGTTGCTGTGTTGGGCAATGCGTAAAAATAGATCTCCCTTGACCAGCTGTAAACCCTTCCGTCAAAACATGCTTCTTTTATATCATAAGTGGCCAATTCTAAAATTTTGTTTTAACATTAGCCAAAGTACTTGAGATTAATGTGCTGTCTGCGACTTTAATTGTAAAGCTGGCGTCACGGCTTCAAATATCAGACTTATCAACCAAGAATTAAGGTGTTCAAAAACTCGTATTTTCCAAGTACTATTGTAGAGTGGAACTCGTTGCCACCAAGCACAGTTCAGGGGCATTTGTCACTAGAAAGCTGTAACAACTCCTGCAATATTAAATGTGCAAAGATTGAGTGTAAGAAGTCGTTCGGTATGATATAGCTAGCTGCTGTGTGCCTTGTGCCTGTGAAGCTGACAGTTACGCTGAAGGGCAGTTATATTCAGTCTAAATCTAGAGTTCCACGATCTCATACCTTCGCCAAATAATGACAAACTTTATGACTGACAAATTATAGATTATAACCCCTGATTATGCAAATAGGATCATGATCACTATTCATACTGTTAGTTCACCTAGCTTATACAATTACTAACTGGAAATCAAACTGCTAGTTAAACCAAGTCATACACAAGTAACGTTACAGAGAGAGAAATCAAAGAAAAGAACACAGGAATTCCAGTTCTTGTATGACGATGTCACCTGCAGGGTGGACAGCGTCTCCGTGCCATTGTTGTGCAGTTGTCATTTCCCAGGCATCTACCAGAACGACGTTCATCCCCTGGAACATTTCTCTCATCACCAAGTCCAGCTGGTACGCCAGCCAGTCTCCGGCGATGAGCTCGTCTCCCATCCGCGTGTTGGCGGACTTGATGACCACAAGGGTCTGGGGACTCCTCTGATGCAGCCTTTGAATCGCAGCTCGGATGGCCTCCATCCTCTCTCTGTACATGTCCACAGGGTACGAGGTAAAGTGGGCCCAGACAGAGATTCCCACGACATCGTTTGGTCCCCATTTTATTCTATCAATGAGGTTGGAAACGTATTGTAAGTTTGAGACCGGGGCCCAATTGCAACGTCGAGGTGTGCCGTGGGCACGATATTTTATTGTTATGTTGTTTGTGGTGTCACGAGCAAGCAGAGGTCCAGTCTGGTGGGTGGCGTCCGGAAGTGAACTTTCGGAAAGGTTTAGGAGCTCAACCAACTGTTCGTACCACTGTCGTATGGTGGAGTCTCCCATGAAATGAAGGGTCTTCCCCTTCAGACATGTCCTCCATTCTGATTGGTTGGAGAAGTGTCTGTTGTGACAGATTAGTGAGTTCCAGACGCCTCCGGCATAAAATCCGGAGATCGGTGGGGTCGGAAGTCCCGGCGTGCACCGGGGCCGGTTGATCAAAGGATCCAACCCTGTTTGCAAGGTGTAAGATGGTTACGAATTGTACGACAAATGGCTGTCCAACTTGCAAGACACAATGTTTTTTTAGTTAATTCAAGATGCCCACTCACATTTGATGATGTTATCTTATCACCCAATGTTACTCACTTTTGCAACACCTTTGTTATCTTACCTTTCTCGACGTTCACTTTAGACGGTGATCCAGCTATGGCTCTCTTCACTCCGTTCATTCCCCTGGAATAAACAAAAATAAAGATAAAAATAGAATAAAAGATTCATGATCATAGGCTCCAACATTTTTTGTGCTCAAATCAATAATAATCTAGCCTGGGTACCAGACTGTTGCCGGTATACAGGCTAGCTCCTCGGCTCCAGAGATGACATAGTATAATATTGCTTTGGTGAGAAATGCCTCAAAACTTTTACTAAACTACATTACCTGCCGAACAGCTTTTTTTCATCTTTTCTCAGCAGCTTGATCTGATGCGTTGAAAGCCTGCAGTGATACCCGGGAGTATCACAGGAGATGTTAGCGGCTTTCTCACAGTACCACCAGCCTCCTGCATGTGGGTCGGAGTAGTTACACACCGGGGTGTGGCTGTTCAACACAGCCGGGTCTACGTTACACTTGGTGTCGATTTTAGCCGCACCAATAATGTATCGTTTCAGAAACATAAGCTTGTCAAAAGGATGTTCACAGGCTGTCCTTTCTATGACATCTATGGCCTGACGTGGGTGAATAAGTTTGACAATTATGTTCACCTCTCCCGACCACAACAGTTGGAAAGTTGCTGTGTACGTGCCATTCTGGTGGTCCTTGATAATCCCAACTGCACCAGACTTGGTTTTCATATTAATAATGGACGCCTGGAAGAAGTCACCGACGTTAGTTGCTATGTTCCCTTGTTTGTCTTTAGCCAGGAAAACGACACGTAACGTGTCCCCGACCTCAAATTTTCCCCCGGACTCTACGAAAAACCTGAGCTGTTTAACATAAGGAAGCACAGAGAAAAATCCGCACTTCTTTTCTTTTTGTATGGTTGTTGTTTGAGGGCATGAATCTGTTTTCCAATGACTGACCGTCGGTTCAGCGATCTTCTTTAGACTTGGAGGTTTTGTCGGTTGACTTAGTCTAGTTGATTTTAAATGAAAGAACTGGGGCTGTTTCTTCACTGTTCCCATAGGTTGAATCCAAGAAGTCACCTGTGAAAACATGGGATGGGCTGTTTTTATTGAAAAACTAGAATTCAAATTTACGCACTAGATGATAGAACTAGTGCTAGCTTTATCATGTATATTTGTTTGTAAACAAAAGCGACTCCTTTGTACTTAACCTAGTGGGTATTTTTGTACAATAAATTAATTCATTGAAGCATCAATATTAAATTGTACACTGATATTGCGTACTTTGCTTAGCCATCATTTGAGTTAAAGAGACTTTATATCATTTCTCTAGCTAGGAAACAATTTTCCAGCTTGAATGCACTCTGTCGCTACAAAGAAGTAGCTTAAAGGCATTTTCATTTTAAACACAGCAGCAATATGTGAAATTGTATTTTCAAATTGTATGTAGTAAATGAGATGCTGACAGTCCATGTGATACTAGTATGTGTAGCGTACCTGACCATTGTACAGCACCACCGAGGTACCAACAACAAGCAACATGGCAACACAGAGCCACTTTAGCTTGCTCATTGAGCATTCCTGCAGTACGTTGTTCATATCCCTATGAAACAAATACAATCATGTAGTTAGGTAAATATCAATCTTCAGGGCTCTGCTGTTCTGCTGTGAGTCAGCTACACACTTCTAACCAGATGATTTTTCACTAGAAAGAGTGGTGATCGTCCAAACTTGAGTTCAGTCCATTTTTTATGTTATATAATTACCTTCCATGTCTATATAGTGCCACTCTAGTGATTCTTAGCTTTTTGTCTTTGTCGTGGTATTGCCCATAGTACACTGTGTATGACTTGATATTTGGTACACACATGTTCTTGCTAAATATGCAAGAAATTTCTTGACATTTCAAGCAACTTTGGGGTGGCATAGCATCACAACATGCAAAGTTCAATTCAAAGGCCGCTTAACTTTATAATGACAGACATTTTCACACTACATACCAAGAAAGGTCTCAAATTGAATAGGACAATGAAACATTATCCACAAAAATATCCAGATCAGTCAGCAGATAGAAGGTCCCATTTAGTATTTACCTGCTCCCATAAATGGTCCGGCCTAGAATGCCAGCCTATTAGCCTTGAAATAGGGCACGTAACCCTCAGAAGTAAACTGACCGGTTTGGCAAGAAAAAGGTTGACCCCTGTCTCTTTAGAACTGATAAAAATCTGTCTTTACTTTGCAATATTGTTTCAATGGGTAATTGTCCAAGGTGAAAATGTTTAATTTTGCAGATTATTTTAGACTCGGGAAAGACAGGTATCGGGCCTTGAGCGGACCCAACTCAGGGCGGTCATGTTGGCCAGGTGGTCACCTTGGACAGGTTGCTTAATGCTTGCATCATTGGAGAAAATTTTTGGGACCGAGAAAAAGCGGTCAACATGGCCAGGTGGCCAGCTTGAAGAGGTGGTCACCTTGGCAGGTTTGACTGTAGTATTCCAACACCAAATGTATCCAAATTTTCAACAACACTGCACCAGTCTTTTCATTTAGGCATTCATTCATTCATTCATTCATTCATTCATTCACTCACTCACCCACCCACTCACTCACTCACTCACTCAATCATGCATGATCATGTCTGGACCAAGTTGCCCGACCCTTGTTGTGTTAAACTGGGCCGCTAGGGGTCGCTGTTGTCGGTGTGTTGAGGCATTTACGACACCCGGCCGTTTTGCGGCGGTAAACACGGCCTGTTTTGGCGCGGCTGGACAAGCAAAGGAGGATCGACAGACAAGCGAACTGTCAGGGGAATTCCGCTCCAAAATCCAGTCCGATCTCTCTGAGCACCTCTTTGTCCCTGCTAACACGCGGCCAGGGGATCTAGAAGAGAAATCTGCAGGAATTTTCGTGCCTGGAGCTCTTGGCAAGCGAAGAAAGGGGCAGGGACTAGAGAACGGAAAGTGAAAGGATATTTGCTTTCTACAGTGACAGCCATCACTTCGGCTGAAAAGGATCAACCAACAGTTTGTCTTCTCGGTTTTCGCAAGCCGCGGCCAGCCGTGACAGCATCGTTTCGGGTTCGCGGAGAAACATGGGGTGCTGTCAACCCTGCTGTCGTTGTTGTCCGGGCAACAAGGTAGGTCAAAACTGCACGGGAAGAAGAGAAAAATACAACGGGAGCGGGTCGCTCAAAAATTCCACTATAATCACAGCATGGTTCCATATTCAGTACAACAACAACAACGTCCATTTTTGAACGTCGCTCTTTTAGCGTTAGATCATATCCAACGCAGATGTGTACGTGCGAATTCAGTTGTAGTTAAAAGCACGTAGATACGTTAAAATTGAAATGAAAAACCTAAGTAGGCGGTAACGTTATACGAAATGAAATTAAGGGTTAACGTTTCAACGTTTTGGTGGAAGGTAATTTATGAGTTCGTTGCCCCCCCACCCCACCCCAAACAAAGTGGCCGCTAAAATGTCATCTCTGCTGGTTTGTTAAACATTGGGGGGCAGAAGGGAATGGGGGAATATTTGCCGTTTTTCCGTGAGTACATAGTGAGATCGCGCACAACATGTCTCGGCCACAGTTGAGTAAACATCCTCACATGCTCTGGGCACTGCAACAACTGGGGCGTGTGGGGGCCTATCAGTGATGTGCCACGGGGGAGGGGGTGTTGGAAGGGGTCTGCAAGAGTAGGGGGTCTTGGCAACACTTAAATTGACAGTTGTGAAAGGTTTTAGGGAAGATTTCAATGGATTGCACCATTGTATTCATGGGATTGTCTTGCCAAAGTATGCGAAAATCAACACTACCAGATGTTCAGTCGTAATTTTGTGTAATCTGGCATTAAACCAGTATTTGCAATAAGGATACTTTGTCAGGAACGCTCAACTATGCATCCAGGATAGCGATTAACGGGTAACGTAGAGTCAGAGCAACCAGTTACGCTTTACGATTATTTATTGACAATGCCTAAGGCTACAATTAAGGGTGAATTAAAATAGCTCACTACACCTTGTAGTTATTCTAAACGAGTAATTTATTGTCAAGTCCTCAGGCTACGATTAACCATGAATTAAAATGGCTCACTACACCTCACAGAAAGAAAAGACATGCAGACCCTTTAGGAAAGCACAATGTTTATCTCTGAAACTTAACATTCACTGTATTATATGTAGCATAGGATGCCACACTATATGTAGCATAGGACGTCTATATAGAATACTGTATAAAGTCATGACACTGTAACTATGTGTCTCCGTTGTATGACTACTGTGTTACAGAATTGTTTCAACTGCGAACTTAAAACGCAATGAAAACAACCTCCTTTCCCCTCCTGCTACGAAATTCAAACCCTTTCAAAAGTAATCGATTTTACAGTATATTTAGCGCTTGTGCTATCCAGTACATGCAAGTGGCTTTTAAGTTTAAATGCTCAACATACTCATGACCATTGATTTTTGTACATATCAGATTGAATCAGAGTAGCCTGAGTGCCATACGTTTTGTAACAGGGCTCATTGATGAAAGTTTGAACTCAACGGCTAACCCAAAGCTAACCCGATGGCTGCCAGGCTAGAATCAGAACAGTCCAATTACGAATCATGTAAAACTAAAAATCGATGAGTTCATTAACCAGATGTATTGATTTTACATTTGACAGTTTTATGGTTGGGTCTTGGGTTTGTCAAAGAATTGATGGCAGGCATACTTTGCATATCATTAAGTTTATTGCTATATTGCATGTTCTTGCATGTACTTTTTAGTGAGGCATAGGCCAAGCAGTAGATTGCCACATTTTAGAGAGCCATATACCTGGTAATACATTTAAAAAATGTGGATTTAAGGACATCTAAACGTACTATCAGTAATTTTTGAGGTCAGATTTGGTAACAAGATTTACAGTTACTGTATATAGTCCTTGAAACTGACTTATTCTTAGGCCAGCGTGTAAAATATCACTCAGCAAAGCTACATTAACCTTATCCCACCTAAAGGTAACCTTTTGACACCCAATTTGTATTGGTCACGGTGTCAGGTAGCTGGGATAGGGGTTAATTATGATGACATCCCTAGAGGCAGATGTGGGATGAGCAGCAACAATGATAATGATGATGATGAAAGACATCTGTATAGATCTGTCAAGTATGAAATGTTGTTTACAAATTGTGATGACAAAAAGAAAGATAAACCACAACCATTGTAATCTAAAGGATCTATCTACATGTAGCAGTACAAATTCGAGGAACGCGGTCAGTAGACTATAAGGATATAGCTCATTTAGAAGCATGTTTGGATGTTTGGATGTGGTTTAGCATGATACCTCTAAAAACTATGTATGGACTGTCATAGAATTTGGTAGCTGGAAATGGGTAGGGTTTGACCTTTGGTAGAAATGATTAGATTTTGGACCCCCTGGTGGCTCTCCTTGGTACTGCAGCATCTTCCAGTTTTGACAATTTTTTAAAGTGTTTTGCCTTTGAAATAAGTCCCTGCAGTGCGTCTGCTTGGAGATTAACCCTGCACCCATGTGTCACCACATGTCCATAGGAACATAGACTAGGCCAGGCCAAATAGGCAACACAAACATGCTTTACATAGACAGCCAGGCTAGGCTGTCAACTACAGGGGCAAAAACAATTGCCTCTCTAATGGAGGGGGTTAGATGGTCGAGAGATTTTTCACTTACAAGGATGAAAACACACTAATACTAATAGTAATAGGTGATAAAATCCTCCCGAGAGCTAGCTAATGTAAAATCATTTATTTTGCTAGAGCGAAAACACACTAATAGAAGATAAAATCCTCCCTAGAGCTAGCTAGCTACTGTAAAATCATTTATTTTGCCAGAGAGAAAGCTAGTGATTTTTTATGGCATTTTAAATCCTTGGTCGAAAGAAGACTGTTACAGTAGTATTTTGGTTTATGTACAAACAACACATATTTGCAGTGTCCCAAACTTGCTGTAGGTCTGGAAAGGTAACCATGAAAATTGTATAAGATAACAAAACTGCCTCGAGAAATTCCAAGATTTACAGTATTATGCTCATTACATTTTAGCTAATAGTTGTAGTGTTTTAAAATAGCATTAGGCCTTCTGTGTGTCTGTTTTTTCTCCCTGTACATCAGAAGTGATCTTGTGGGGATAACAGAGGAAGTGGAGACATGAATATTGCAGTAGTATACCCGTACCGTGGGGAATCAGACCTGCTCACCTACCGTAAACCCGCTTAATTTCACGGCAATTAAATTTCACGGCACACTGAAAGTAAAAAGTTTGCTACTGTACATATCTCCGGCTTTGGAGTCAAAACAACGCGGAATATATATTGAATTTGCAGTGAGTTCAATTCCAGGCCTAGGGTCGCTTGAATTTTGAAATGTTGTGAAGGATTGTACAATTGTAGTCATTTCGGACGGTGACATAAAGTCGGAAACCGCGAACCGAAGCACCGAACCCCTGCTCGTAAAAGAATCCAACACACTTACTGAAAACAGTAGGGTGAACTGGTGTGGTTGGCTATAATTTAGTATAAACATGAGCTAGTATTAGTAGGCATCCTACATCACACATCACACAGACATTTACACAATTACAGACATTAGCACTAGTAGCCGCTACTTGAAAAAGCATCATGCTCCACCTCACCTCAGTTGAGGACGACAGTCACTGCTTAACATGTATGTTTCCTTGCATTTCAAACACGTAAAAGTTTGACAATTCGCAGTACGCTGCACTACATGTACGTCTAGACCAATATAGCGTGAAGGGTCCTGTACTTTAAGTATCTGGTTTAATTGTCCCGCATGACGGAGAAATCGCATCAACTCCCTCCGCTGTCATACCTGATTAAGTCTGCAGCAGCATCCATCATCTCTGCAGTAATAGGGCAGAGGGGGGCATGTCTGCACTAATTGCTTTAATAGAACTCATCAGCCATATCGTATGACGACATTTATCAAGATAGAATTAGGCAGGCAGCCAGCCAGGCACATTCGAGCACAATAATTCCATGATGTAAGAATCTTTTCAGTTGTAGGAAGCTTTATTTTTAGTTGGTTGCAACATAACAAATTTTGAACACCTTCAATGATACAAAGCTTTGATATCTCAATTTCATTTTTCTGTATTTGATATTTGAGTTAGAGCAGAAATATCTCACAACGGAAAATGGCAATGCAGATCCTTGTGTATTTTGTATTCATTGCTGCAGATAAACTAGTATATCGTTGTATTAAGCTACCTTTACTCATCCTATTACTAGCAGCTTTAGTGATACAGAATGCACAGTGTAAATTTTTCCATATTTTTGTAATGTTTGAATTAGAGCAGGAATAGCTATCTCACAATGGAAAATGGCAATGAAGACCCTCGTGAATTTTGTATTCACTGCTGCACTGGTATACTACAGTACTATGGTTGGATTGAGGTACTGAATTGGATTTAGGCTTGAGATTAGAGTCAATCTCTATGGTAAATTTGCAATGGAAAAGACGTCACTCGCTCTCTAGAAACAAATTATACTTTCTGAATGGCTTTTTAACCTAGTAAGAACTGACTGGGTGACATATATCTGCAATCAAACGATACAATTACTGAGGCTAAGATTCTTGCAACCAGTGAAGATATTATTAGTGACAGCAGTCTAAATGGATAAGCAATAGAGGTTTCAATTCAATTTTTGCTCATAGGCTATAGTACTAGACTATATATGGGCTTGATCATTTTGGATTGAATTGTATATTGCTGTTTAGTGTTTTTTGTATAAATTATTAATGTATGTACACATGTATATGTATGTACGTATTATGAGAGTATGTATGTACATATGTGTACATGTACATGTACATACTATACATACTTGTACATACATGTACATTGTACATATAAGATACATACATAACTTATATAAAAGTCTAGCTGTTGTTTCAGGGTGGTTACCACAGATTAACCTTAAGGTCAAGTTTGAAGGCAGGGAGGAAGAAATGGGTCCAACCATGCAAGTCACCCACTTAGGAGTTGTTTTAAACTTTTCTTTTATCACATTCCAATAGGTCCCTGTTGAAGGGTGCCAGACAACACATACTCTGATGTCCCGATTAAACGTACCGGTACGTTTATTTTTTTCGGC